TGTTTAGAAAGATTGCAGCAATACATCACTTGTTGCTGGAGGAAATTAATAAAAGGGTGAGGAATTGCTAAGCAGGCAGCCCTCCCTGAGCCACGGGCGAGGGGCCCCGTGTAACCAGCAGTCATGTTTCAACCCTACAAACCATTTACAATCCCTGGGCACATCTAGAAAACAATACAGATCTTTTTGTTTATCTCTGCACATAGTACATTTAATATGTATTTTTTTTTTCTGTTTGTAAACAAATTAATTAGAGAAATGTTTTATCTGGCGCTTACACTTAACCCTGTCTGATGCTGTGGAAGCGAAACCTGCCTCAAGTCAAACCTACCTGACGTCTCTACAGCATAACAATAGAGCTGACATCATGTTTTCCATCCACAGTCAAGGATGCACCTTCTTCAGCCACCCTGAAAATGTGCTGCAGGATCTGATGGGAAGCTGAGTGCCCAGTGGCACCTTCATGAGCCATAACACCAGGCTGGAGGAGCACACTGACGAGCTGGAGATGCCAGTGCAATTAAAACAACACCATGGACCCCATGCAGACACTAATAAGCTGAATAAAATAATGAAGCACAGCAGTAATTGGACAATAAAACTGAAAAAACTCTCATTAACTTGCTCTAGGAAGATATCCCTCTCTAAAGGCAAGCAGATAGGTCTCCTGTAACCATCTCACTCCTCACCAAGAGGTGCAGGTGAGACAGGGCATCATCTGCCAGCGTGCTGCAGGTTGTGGAGACACAGCACGAGATGCCCACCACGTCCCAGCTGGGTCCTCCACACCACAACGGAGGCAGGAGCACTTCCCCCATGCAGAGCTTCCTTCCTGGTGTTCAGTCAAGACCTCCAGCCCCCCACGCAGGATCTCAGCCCCCCAACAGCTCATCTGGCACTAGATGACAGAAAGAGGCTGGTGTCCTGTGGGCAGGAGGCAGGATGGGTCTCTCCAGCCTGCTCACAGCTCAGCCTTGGCTGCACTGACACATCCAGACCAGGACTGAGCCACCCAGACTGAAAACTGCAAACCAGCTCAGCCTTTTAGTGACCCCCGAGTCAGAGTGAAACAGGAAGACAGAGTAGGAATGGCAGAAAAGGCCAAAACTCTGGTTTCTTGGGCAAATGTTAAGTCTGCTGCTCACTCCAGTGATACAAGAGATTGAACCTGTCCTGGCTGCTTGTCCAAACCTGATAACCACCTACTCACTGGGCAACACTTTTGCCTAAATCACACTTAACAAAAATGATTAACAGCAAGACTGGCTTTGCTTTGCTTTTCTTTTTGCATAACTTTTGGGAATTTCTAAGTTGTGCTATCACTTTAGAGGAAAACTTGAGTGAAGTGGGACCCACGTGCCCTGTCTGCCCCTCCTTCTATCTGCACCAGCTTCCTTCTGAACAACTTCTGACCTTGCTGGCCAGTTTGAAGCACATTTGCAACAAGCAGAGATTTCTGAAGGATGTGTCTGCAGGATTAGTAACACTCAGTGGATGGCTAGAAGAAAGACCCACCCAACACTGAGCATCTAAGGTTCATCCACCCAGCCAGCCCCCTGTGGCACACGTATAATCCCAACACAGGCTGTCACCAGCACCCTGTATGATACAGGGGTGTGGGAGAGAGTTCAGGCACTGCAGGAAAATTGGGGAGGCAACTAGGGGAAGGAGTCACAGGGAAGGTGATGGAGAGTGCTGCTGTGATAGTGCACACAGAAGACAAATCCTTGGAAAAATAAGATTTGCAGTTTCACAGGGATTGTTTTCTCTGTTTTTTTGAGTTTGACAGTCCAGGGACACTTGCAGAGGTTTGAAAGTGAGAACATAATAAACCTGGGACCTGCTGAGTTAACTCTACACAGAGAAAGAGAAGCAATATCCCCGAATTTCCCACGAGAACCTGCAGTTCCTCTAGGAGTGATCCATTTCTTTCTCCTCCAGGCACAGCAGTTCCTCCAGGAGAGATGTGTTTCTGCTTGTCAGGCACCTCAAACTATTAGAAGCTGCATGCACAGAACCAGCCACATATGGGACAGATCTCAGAGTGATGCAGCTGCCTTGGTGTAGGTGAGCAGACCCCCAGCACTGCATGGTGCAGTGCAACCCTGCTTTTAGATGTTGACAGCACTGTGGTTGAGTTTTATTGCCTGATTGCAGTACCTCTGTCCCTGCTATTCAACAGGCTCTGGGGGCTGTGACATGAGATTTCAGTAGGGATGCAGCTGGCCAAATTTCTCATCCTAAAATTCAGGGCAAAGCATTTCAAATTGCAGGAGGTCACCAGCTATAAGTGCTACACACTAAATCTGCATGCAGAGGGGCAAGAAGCAGCTGACAGAGTTTGATAGAATCCCCATAAAAAAGAGAGAGAGGCAGGAGGAGATCCTCTGTGACCTCTTAGGGGGGGTGTGGGTGGGCATCTTGTAATCACAACTTCACTGCAGGGAGAACAAAGCACTGCAACAGTTTTCCATGGAATCCTGGCCAAGCCATTGAAAATCAGACATCTGCTCATTCTCTCCTTGCACTGATATCTGTGAAACACAGCCAAAATTGTTAATAAATCATGCACTGGGTGCTAGGCAAAGCTGTGTGAGGTTGCTTGACAGCAAGTGAGCCAAAGAAAACGTGGTGATTGTACTGTCCTTAGGTTAAAAAGTACCTTTTGTCCCAGGTTTGCTGCAGCCAAAACTCATAAAATATTTCCTTGGTTATCAACCAAATTCTGACCTCAGACACAGAAATGCAGATCCAGGGGGAGTGCCCTGCACGCAGAGGAGACACTTCACCAGAGCCTGGCTCCTGTGTGGGGAGGCAGCAGGCAGCTGCCCACACCAGACACCTCTGCCAGGGGGGAAGCAAGCAAAGGTGACACAGAGATGTGGGGAAGCAATCAGGATGGAGAGGGATGCACAGACATCCCATAAAACCAGGGCTGTACATTCATGACAGCAGGAAGAGAAACTGATGCAGCCTGTTTTAAGACTTGCAAAAATGATGTTGAAGAGTTCTTCAGTCTATCTGATGGCAAAGAAAAATGTAAACACACTCTTGTTCTTTCTTTGAATGAGAACAATGATGAATACAAAAATATTTACTCACCTATGATGGTCTTTGGCATTTATTTACCTACCACCTGGGAGACCTGGAGCATCCTTACCCTTAGGGCCTGCACAATAAGGCAGAAAAACTCTTCTCTTTTGTAAGGGAGGAAATTCAGATACACAGAACCAAACGAGTCTGCCCCAAATGACAAGTCTCTTGGGAAAAAAAGCATCACTTCAGTGTTTTCTAATTTAAAATTAGCACCCTCACCAAACTTCCTTTTGTTTCCCCTCTTGTGTTAGCATTAAAGAAATGAGAATTGAGGGAATATCTCCTGAAGTGTTTTCCCCACAATAATTACTGAAGACAAATTGTGGGTTTTAGCAGTTTTTCCCAGGATGTACTTAGTAGTAGCTATGATTTTGGTTATTTCAGGGAATCCTTGACTTCTCCAAACTCCACAATTTTCTTTATTATTGTAGGAAAATACACACAGGGACTATCACAGCAATGCTGATCCTGTGGGAGGAGCTAGGACCCAAATCAATAAGTAGAAGGGAAGTTAGTGAGAGAATCTCAGCTACTGATATAACCCTGTAGCTGTGAGGAGCTGAGAGTAAGGAAAGTATGCTTTTTATGGGAACATTTAACACAACAGGAATACCAATCAAACTCCATTAATTTAGCTTTAAATTTTAATGAATCAGGATGCGTAGTTTACATAAAGAAGGATTTACTTAATAAAATATTAATATTTTTGCTAAAAGAACTGTAAATTGCAAGTTAATAGAACTGTAAATTGCAAGTTAATACAGTTTTCCTTAAATAGAACTTCAAAAGCTGGAAGCCACTGAAAAAAGCACACAGCAAATCAGAACAAGACATAATTTGAGGAGAGCAGAATACTGTGGTCAGTCTTAAAGATTGGGCCCCTGCTCATCCACATTAATTCCTTCATTTAACAAAAGACATGAAAACACTAAAAAGAGAAAGAATCTTTTGGGCTGGACTCCAGCTGATGGTGTTTGGATCTTTTATTTGGGCTGTGTTGCTGAAGAGCCTTCAAACTGAACTGAAACTACTCTCCCTGTGCTTTAACAACAATCTACCAGGAGTCAAATAGGAGGTTAAACTGGCACATCATCTCCAGGAGGTTGAGGCTCAAACCACTTGCACACAGTCAGGCAGTAAGCAGGAACCCAGCGACCTGCCAGTTGCTGAAGAGCCTTCAAACTGAACTGAAACTACTCTCCCTGTGCTTTAACAACAATCTACCAGGGGTCAAATAGGAAGTTAAACTGGCACATCATCTCCAGGAGTTTGAGGCTCAAACCCACTTGCACACAGTCAAGCAGTAAGCAGGAACCCAGAGACCTGCCACACCCCATCCTCGTGTGCAGCTGACAAGAGCCCCCAGTTTTCCCACTCCTGGGTTTTCCATCTGGGAAACATCAAAGTTTCCTGAGGGTCTTTGATCACCCACTCTTATGTGCTTGTTTTTCTTTAGGCATCATCACCAACAGGCCACCTCATTCATAGGGGGGGTCTTTGCCCAAAAGCAACACTGGAAAAGTGAGTCACTCAAAAAAAAACATTTCATTTCAGCTGTCCTAAAACTAGAAAAACTGAGAACACCCCCAAACAAAAGCCCATTGGTTTCCAACTGCAGCACATTACTGCTTCATTTTCCCAGCTGGCAACCAGGGACTTGAGACACACCAAAGTAATAAAACTTCCATGATCACCTCATATCTCTATTACTGTGATGAGCTTTGCTTGCAGGACAGAATAAGAGAAGCTAACATGCAAAAATCCCCCATTATGTAGCTGTGAAGATACAGAGATCCCTATTCATTTTTTGCAGGATGGAAAAAACAACCAAACAACAACAACCACCCACCCTCCAGTGACCATACCTGACAAAAATGAGCAAGCAAAGAACAAAACAGACTCACGTTGAGCTGGAGGTCATCTGTCCACTGCCCGACCAGGCGGTAGCCCGGGGTGCTGGTGTTGGTGGTGTGGAACTGGAAGATGTCGTAGCGCCCGGGGGCATCACCGTTTTTGTTGAACATCACTGGAGTGCCAGCACTGCCTGGGGGAAGGAAACCAGACAAAAATCCAACCAACCAAAGCCAAATCTTGACAATCTCTCTTTTATTTAGTCACGGCTGAGAGCTTTCAGACGGGCAATGTGTTTCAGACCAAGGTCATCTATCACCCCAGCCATCTAAAAGAGAGACTTCAGGACACGGTGGCATCATCCCAGTCCTCTTCCAGAGATTAATTATCTCTGCCCAAACCTACCCACTAAAAATAAAACAAAGAAAAACTAGATCAGCCCTACTTCACTCCAGCTTTGCACAAAGCAAGAAATATCAGAAGGCTTTTCTTCCTGCCCGCCAGCCTCCCTCCCATCTCTGGCTCCTCAGGGACTTCTTCAGTGAAAATCACTCCTCTGAATGGAGCCTCTAAATGATTTTTTTTCGCCCAGAAAATGTTCCATCTGCTTCTGAGAGATACTGCTGTCAGAAGTCAGCCCAGGTCTAGTGAATCTTGACTAGCATCCAGAAATAGCTTCCTCCTCCACAATATGTTCTTATCCCCATCCTCAGCGTGCTGTTGGGATGGAAAAGAACAGACTAAGCTAGAGGAAGACTGTTTGCTGTGCACTCCCTCATCTGTGCTCCGTGACACTGATATGGGCTGAAAAGTATCTCAGCCAGGAGCTGTGCAGGGTCAGGGTCCTGAATTAACTTTATTTCCCATACACTAAGGTGACTAACAGAGGTGAGGAAGTACAGGGCAACCAACGTGGCAAGGAGAACCCCCAGCCCCTCCTCTGTGCCTGCTGCTGGGGCAAGTCAGCTGGCAGGCTGGAGAGGCACCTAGACCAGAGTGATGGGACAGGAGATTCCTGACCCACAGGGGACTTCTCACCAGAACATCTGCACTTCCATGACCATGGCAGGAGATCTGAACCCTTTCTCAGCTGAGAATTCAGAGCAGGGCTGCATTTCCTGGGATCTCTAGGTGAAAGCTTCAAGTGTGACATTTATTTCAAGACATATTAAAATAGATTTCAGCAGGATAGAGTAATATTGTGTCAAGATTGAAGATTATGACAATATTCCAGCATATCTATATTCAAAGCTTCCTCCTCCTGCGTAACTTTTTTTTCCCTAAAGCAATGAAAAATCTCTCCTGTTGTAGCATTGAACTTTAAGATTATGGTTTTTTTTTTTTCATGATTCCCATTCTTCATTGAATTCCAGAGAGTGAAAAAAAGATTTGAAGGAGTGAATTAGCATAGTTTCCATTCCAGCTCTGGTAAATTGTTTCCTGTCTATCCTACAATCCTCTGAGATCAGATACAGATTCAGTTCAAAGGCTGGTACAGAAAATCTTCTACTGAAATCTCCCCTCTCTGGTCCCTTGTGAGGACTGGGCAGATATTTAATTGTCATCACAGATTAATGTAGCCAGAATACATTTACAGGGAAAACACTTAAAGTGAATAAGAAGCAATGGCTGTAATTTCAAGGCTCCTTTGGAAAGAGCACGAATGGTAAATGGGATTTGGTTAATCACAACTCCTGAAAGGCTGTACATTATTAATTAAGCCTGGTTTTGTCAGAGCTGACAAAAAAAGTTCAATTCAAAGGGCAGGAGCTCCAGGGAGGCTCCCAAAATGCAACACAGACATTTGTGGACTCTCCATATCCTGACGAAACCCCAGCATGGACACAAAGAGGTGTTGGTGTCTGTACCTCAAGAGCAGATGCTATTGGTGTGGTCATGCCAAAGTCAACAGTGCCAAGAGAGACTCTGCTGCCCCAAAGTCTTCCACAGGCTGAGGGAAAGCATCCAAGAGCATGCCTACAGCCACCTTCATGGGCCATTGGGAACATCACCCAGCATCTTCCTGGCTAAGCCACGGCCACCCCATCACAGTGCAGGAGGTAGAGCCATGGGGTCTCCATCCCCGCCCTGGTCTCTCAGAGCAGGTGACCCACCTGCCTGCAGACAGTGCTGGCAGGACCCCTGTTCCCTGCTCGAGGGGCAGGCAGTGGGCAAGAGGCTTGAGAAGCAGAAGGGAAAAATGAAGGGCAGGTGCTGTTATGGACTTACAAGGTCCTGAAGTGAGGACGTAGCAGGAACTGTCACTCCACAATGTGCCATTTCTGCATTTTGCAGGAGCAAAGAAAACTTTGTGAAGATTACTGCTAATTGTTGCTTTCTGGCAGGCAGACAGCTTTTAAACACGGGCATTTAAAATAATCCTGAACTCAGCAGATGCCCGTGGGTATTATGGGGCTGCAGGCTCCACAGCAGCACAGCAGGACGCAGCATCCTCGGCTGGGTCACCTCCAGAGGCCCATGAGGTCCCTTGGGATAGTCTGGAGGAAAATCTTGTGGCTGTTTCCAGATACTTGCCCATTTATGTGCCAGAATTATAAAGAAAAAAAAACAAAGCTTGGAAAAAAAAATAATGGGATCTGTAGAGAAGACAGATATCTACAGAAACAGGAGGAACTGATCCTCTTGGATCACAGCTCAAGAAGAAGTGTCTTGTTTCCTGACTTTGAAGTTGGAGTAATTGGACTCCTGGCCAAGGATCTGCTTAGCTGTGACCTACACGTGGCTCTGGTCCATGCTCTGGTGCCCTTTTTGCACCACCTTTTTTGGGAGCCACCAGTCCTATCTTAAAAGTCTGCAGCATTTCAGTCTCCACTTGCAATTCAAGTTCCTTGGTGCACTTATAAAAAAAAAAATCAAGAAGTGATGAATAAAAACTCCATTACAGAGAAGAAACTATTTCCAAAAAATGGCCCTATTTGTCATTTGACTTCTTCACCTTCTAATTATTAAAACATACTGTTTCTTGGTTTGCTTTCTATAATTTAGGATTTCTTTTGTTTCTATTAATATTTACAAGAATTTTGCTCAGCCCAGCAAGCCCTCGAGGCTGAGCATTAGCCTCTAGACTGCAGCTTCTTGGTCTCAGGGGTTTTAATTCATCTTCAATTCCCAACAAATAAGCTCCCAACAAATAAGCTGCTTCCTCACTACGAGACACAGGGAGCACAAAACACCCTTCCACCTGCAGGATGCACTCCAAAAACAAGACACCATCTGACAGAGTTTGTAGGACTTCAATCTCTTAATCATCACAAGATGAGAAATGAATTAATGGGAGGAGAGGGTGTTAGCCAGGTGGAACCAGCCAGGGTGTTCCTTCCTCATTCAGCCCACGTTTGCTGAAGTTTGAGGAGGTGAAGGGCTCATATGAACAGAATTTTTAGGTTTTTCACTGGCAAAAAAAAAAATGCAAGCACTTTACACTTGGAGATTTTCAGAATCTCACTGCGTGAGCACTCGAGGTTTGAAGTTTTCCATATTTCCTTTTTGTTCTCCAGGCAATGTGACGATATCAAAATTCAGGCTGAGCTCCCAGTGCAAATCCTGTCTCTCTTCATTAAAGCGTAGCTGGAGCTCCTTCTGCATGAATGTCATTACCTCTGTGAGGAAGAAAAGGCTCCCAAAGCAGGTACAGACAGGAGGATTTCAGCTGCACGGGGACAAGAAGATGTATTACATGCAAAGAGGATCTCAAGCTCTTGGGCTCAGGATGCTTGAAAATAGACTACATTTTTTTTCTCTCTGGCAAGCAGTTTGGAGAAAACACCCCCACTGCTCTACTTTCTGATTTGGCTACAAATTTAAGGAGAAGACCAGGGGAAGAGGATTTTAAGCATAACCTAAATATTGCTTTCCAAGTCCTAACCCTCATGGGATGGAGCTGCAGGGCTGCACCGCTGGCTCAGGGAAGGGCAGGTCAAGATCAAGGCTAAAACCAAGAGAGTTGACAGCAGCCCAGCAGCAAGTTCCTCTGTCCCTGCCCTCCCAGCCAAGAGACAAGGGCCAAGGAACGTGTAGGCACCAGCACCCTTGTCCCAGGAGCTCCCAGGCTCTGTCACAGGGATGCAGCACCCATGCCATCCAAAGCCTCTCTCCTTGCTTCTTCCATTCCCTGCATTTCTCAGGCTGGCTCCCTTCATTTGGTGAGTTATATGATGGTTGCATATCCAGCACCACGGGGAAGACTGAACTAATCCACAGCAATTCTGGGCATTTACTTTTCTAGAATAGCAGGAAGTGGCTCCAGAGCATCTTCACAGCCTGAGGAACAAGCCCCAGGAGGGTCACAGCTGAGTGACTACACAGCCTAGGTGTACAAACACGTGTGCAGTTGTGCACTAGGGATACAGCAAGAAAAAAGCTCAACTCTGGAAAAAGAACCATGAAAGGGATTGGTTCTTTTCCCACAGAAAATCCCTGCATTCAGATAGCTTTAAACCTTTTTACTTTCTCTTGGCTATCTCAGTTTTGTCACTGTTCTCCTTCAGGTGCTAAGCAGCAAACCAGTACTGCCATGTCCCTGTGCTGGACATGAGTTATATCTATACAAAGAACAACCCCAGATGGCCACATAAATCAATCACAAATGGAGGGCTAAAAAAATCATCTTTTAAAAGCCCAAGAAACACAAATAAAGAAACCAAAGCAGATGCAAACCAATTCTTGGAGATGGACAGCAGGCAACATCAGCTGGACAACCCATTTCTCAGAAACTGTTTCTCAGAAACTGTTTCTCAGCTCTGTTAAAATGCTGAGATGACTGTTCAGCATCTTTGCATGCAAGAGCTGCCCAGAGATGACCGTGGGCAAACTGCTCTTCAGTGCCAAAATGGCCCAACACTGTACACGAATGCTGTTCTGCTATAGGAGCTTTGTCCTTTACAATTAACCTTCCAAAAATTAAGAAAGTAGAACTCTCCAGACCTCCTCAGATCATTCACCTCAAAATTAGCTCCTCTCAGTAGTTACCACCACTTAATTCAAGGAAAGAAATCTCCATATCCTCATATTCACCTTGCTGTTTGGAAGATTTACACAGGAGAGAAAAATCCACTTGGCACAAATGACCAAGCTTGACCACCAAATACCATCTGTGTTCCTATCCTTAAATCTCCCAGGACCTATTGCCTATCTGTGGGTTTAAGGTTTATTAATAAAGATGTTATTAGTAGCTGGCAGCAGGGAACACCTCACTGTGCTGCCCAACAATGGGCGTGGAGCTTCTGCAAACCCTCACAAGGGTATTTTTTTTTCAGTACTCTTCTAAATCTGTTCTCCATACAGATTTGGAGGTCTAATCTTTGGTTCCTGGTTCACTCTCAGATCTCTATCTTGCAGAGAGCTAGGGCAAAAGCAGTAAGACCTCCCAGTAAGGACATTAACAAGGTTTATGAAGGAGAAACACCACGAGGTTGCTGCAGTGTCGCTGCTCTGGTGCCTCCGAGCTGGTTGCAGGGGAATGTTTGTTAGTGAAACTAATACAATTACAGTGAAACAGAGGTAAGGAAATTTTGCTAATATTTAGGCTTGATTTACATAGTGCAGTGCAGAGAAAATAATACAGGGAAGGCCACTGTGCTGCCTGAAACAGGGGGTTTGAAACTGGAGTTGAAACCATCACTGCCACCCTGGGGAAAAGTAGGTGGAGAAGTGAGAAGCAGACAAAGAGATGAAGTGCTCCCATCCTCACCCCCAGGGTGCTTCACCTCCTCTGATGTCTTACTAGAGGAATGGAGGTTGGAGTAACTGCTCTGGCTAAATCATATAGTTCTGGCCCTTTAGCTGTCCTCCCTTCTCTTGAGCATGCATAGAACTGTTTTGGTTGAAGGAGACCTTTAAGATCACCAAATCCAACCACGAACCCAACACTGCCACTACCAAACCCACCACACAACCGTGTCCCTCACACCACATCTCCATGGCTTTGAAACCCCTCCAGGGATGGGGGCTCCACCACTGCCCTGGGCAGGCTGAGCCAGGGCTTGACAGCTCTTTCAGGGAAGAAATTTTTTCTAACATCCAAATTAACCTCCCCTGGCACAACTTAAGGTTGTTTCTTCTTGTCCTACTGCTTGTTCCCTGGAAGAAGAGCCCGACCCCCACCTGGCTCCAGGGTCCTGTCAGGGAGTTGTTGAGAACCAGGTCTCCCCTGAGCCTCCTTTGCTCCAGGCTAAACAATCTCAGGTCCCACAGCCACTCATCATGAGACTTGTGCTCTAGAGCCTTCACCATTTTGTTACTCTTCTTTGGATACACTCCAGTCCCTCAAGGTCCTTCTTGGAGTGAGGGGCCCAAAACTGACCCCAATATTCGAGGGGCAACCTCACCAGTGCCAAACACAGGGGGATGATCATTCCCCTAGTTCTGCCTAGTGAGGGTACCAGAATTTCACCCAGTTAGTTTTACCCAAATCCAGGGAACAATACAAATAAAGAGGAAAACAAATGACGTGTGATGCTAACAAACTTCCAGGGTTTCACCAGGAATATTGAGTCAGAGACAAGCTGAGGCTTTTACCCATTTGTTTCTCCCCCAGAGGAAATCAGTCTTCTGGAAGGGATCCTAAACTAGCAGCAGCGAGTTCTGTCTTTGGGCCGTAGTGGCCAATTTGCCTTGGCTGAAACATGATGTTTTCAGATAGATGCTAAACAAACATGGTCTTCTGCCACGAGCTCTGGTGTAACAATAAAAGAGCCTTGCTCTGCACCGAATGAAAAAAAGGGATGAAGTGAAATGAGGGGGAAAGCAGAGACAGCGTCCCCCCTCCCAGGGTGGTGGTCCCAAGCTCACCGTTGAAGTTGACGCCGCGGATGTACTTGAGCAGCTTCTTGCCTCCCGCGTGCTCCATCTCGGGGCAGAGCCCGGGGGAGTCCGTGCACAGGTCCTTGTTCATGTGGTGCAGGGCGTGGGCCATGGCGTACACGGCGTCGATGACAAACTGCACCTTCCCCTCCTGCTCGTAGGGCGAGTCCTTCCCGATCCTCTCCTGCCCTGCGCCACGGAAACAGACACGCACACGTCTCCGCACGAGGACGGGCAGGATAGGGGGGGTTTTCCCCACAGCAAATTCAAACTCAGCCTCTTGGAGCACATTGAAGGTTCTGTACCTTTTAGTCAGTAGCACAAAACGTTTTGGGCTATGGTCAAACCAGTCAAACCTCCTTCCCCACTAGTTGAATCATCAACACTCCTCCCTGGGGTTATTCTACCACAATCCAGAGAAAGAAACCCTACAACAATCACAGACCTCAACCTCTAACCTACAGGGATCATTCCACCAGACTCTGCGTGCTCCCAAAGTACGTCTTTGGAAGAAGAGAGCATCTAAAATAAAGCCCAGCTGGTATTTTAAAGGCTGATGGTTTGTTCTGCTGCAAATCCCACTCTCTAATTGAAAGACAGAGCCAGATGGAGGGAAGGAAGGATCACCTCAGAGATGCTACTAAAGGGCTTCTCCAGAGAACCAAGCAACCATGCCTGCTGTTAACCCCACCTTGGGAAGCTCAGTGTGTTTGCATGAAGGAAGCACTCCCCTTCTCCTCAGCCTGCACAGCCTGAAATGTCCTTCAGAATCCACTGATTGCCTTGAAAATATTGTAGCAGGTGAGAAGTTAAGGAATCCAAACACTTAATGTCATCTCAGCTGCAGCAGGGGGGTAGCAAGGCTTTGGAAGTCACCCCTTGATCACTGCAGTGTCCAGTGTGCTGGAAACCACAAACCCTCTGCCTGGGAGATCTTCTCATCCAACAGACCAGGGCATAGAAAAAACCCTGAGAGAAGGGAGGCACTTCACAGATGGAAAATTGGAACACAGAAATTAAACCACTAAGAGCCAAAAGAACTCAACAGCAGTGAGAAAAAAAATGGTGAGGCTAAATATTTGAAGAGGTAGAACTCATGCCTTAACCATCCTCTCCCTCTCAGACTCCAGCTGGGGAGGTAACCTGGCAATGTGAGTGCAGAGCCAGGCAATGAGGTGACCTTCCTGCTTCTCTGGCTGTGTGAACAGGTAACTCTGTGCCTCTGTGATTCAGCAGCACACCAAACAGTCTTTTCAGGGCTTGAAGTAAGGTACAAGAGGTTGAGAAGCAGATAACCTCAATTTAGTGGGTTTTTTTCCCCTGAAATGGTCCACTAGCTTCTTCCTTTCCCTTGTCCAAGTCACACCTGCAGGATTCAATCTGTCCAGCTGCAATGGGTGTGATCATCCTCACCCACCTCACCAGGGTTCCCTGGAAGGTAATTACTGCTTGTGAAGAGCTCTGAGCTGCAGCCATGAAAGCACCTCAAGGGCAAGCTATTATTTTCCAAGGGTGACAACACCACGTCCCCCTTGTTCCACCTGCAGCACCCCCCTTCTTCCTAGCCTCACATGGGTCTTGGGCACCTTCCTGCAGCACCTGCAGGTCTGGGTACTGCCAGGAGCTCCAAGAAACCAGCCCTTGCAGTCATTTGTTGCAGTATTTTGGAGATATTCAATCAAAGTAAATGTTCAGTTGGAGGATACAAGTGGAAAAAATTCCTTTTTTAACATCCTTAATCAGCAATAGGGATGAGTGAATTTAAATTAGCTGATTGATACCAATAAGAAAAGGAAATCAAGTTGCTAATGACTCTGTGAACTAAAAAATGCAGATACCCAGAGAATCCTTTTTTTTTTTTCCATGAGTGGAGATGTGGTAGACAAGAAATAAAAGCAAACAGAGAGATCACCACCTTTTTACAGAAATTTGGTAAGCACGAAGAATGTCTAAATATGTCCACAAAAGTGATTTGTTTGAAGATAAGCAAAGATATAATCCCCTGATACGAATATCTTTAATTATCTACAATTTTCCTCCTCCTTTGGTTCCCTCTGTAATTACCAAACTGCACCATTGGCGTCTGATCCACCCAACCTACACATTATATTTGAGACCCTCAATTTTAAATCCCAGCTACACTGGAAACATGGAAATCCAGCAGATAACTCAGCAGAGCAGGAGCTTCCAGACTGTGAAGATCCACGTCCTGTCCTTTTCATTATCTCACTCCCTTCCCATCGATTACAGAACTTATTCCATTTCCAGGCCCTGACAAGGAAAATGCTTTTAAGTGGTCTGAGCTCAGCTACATAACTAAATTAGCCATGCAACAGAGCTGTGTGCCAGGGGAAGTGGATCTGGGATTGAAATCCTGCACACAAACAATACTGATTGGGCAGATGAAGTTCCAGAAGCGTGGCTGGCCAAAAGCACAGCAGGGAGAAAACCTTTAGCAGTGAAGATATCTGTGAAAAGAACCTGAGCAAAATCCACTTAGGAACCTCCAAAAGCAACCTTACCAGTGCCCAAGTACAAAAATAATAAAGCTGTGAAAACTTAATGGAATTTCCAGCAACAAGAGTGTGTTCCTGTACTGAAAAGAGCCATTTAGCTGAGTATCAACAGCAAGAATTTGTGCACAATAAATCCAGACAGGGAGTCAAACATAGCTGCCCACCTGGAAAACATGCATGAAATGATACAATTTCACACAATTATTCAGTGTCCTCCCCTTCATAGAAACACAGGCTGAGTTTCCTTTTAAAGAGATTTCATGGTAATTAGAATTTAGCCCAAATCTGAACTAGCAAAGAGCCTGCAAAGCAATTGCCATATTTGATAGATGGCAAATAGCCTTCAAACTTTGACACTAGACCCCCCAGAAATTAAAATACCCAATTAGATGGGTCTGGCTGAAGTGTTCCCTCCAGTTTCCATCAAACTGCCATCACAGTAACCCAGTGAGCAGCAAACCAGGTCCAGCCTCCACTTTCAGACAGGGATAAACCTCAGTGATGGGCAGAACTGTGATTCCAACTTCAAAATTAGTGTGGCAAATGTTTCCCTCTATAAGGTTTAGCTGAAGAAGCCAGGAAGAAAATTTTACCACATGCTTCAGGAACAGCTCCTGTACATATGGGTGCTGAGAAAAGTCAATTATCAACCATTCCTGAAAGAAGGAAACCCACAGAAGTCATCAGCTCCTTACAGGTAAGAGCAGCAACACTGGTGCTGCTTGTGCCTCCTGGCAAGGGCCAGTCCTGCCCCAGCCCAGCCACGTCAGGGCATCATGAGGGTCTCAGCAGAGCAAAGCTTGGTGCAAGAGAAAGAACCAACGTGGAACTGGGGAGCTGGGTCCAGCAAGAAAGCATGCAACCCTCCACACTGCCAGAACTCACCAAAAGCACAGAAGGTAAATGGAAACCCCTGTTTGCACTGGGACGTGCAAATCTTCTGGGTTTTGGACTTGCCCTGTTCTTTAAAGATTGCTGCTTGCTTTTTTTTTACCTTGGTGATCTTCAGGAGCCATGCAACCACATTATTTTCCTCAGCAATGAAGCAGCTGACACCTGAGATACATGCACACAAAGTGATTTCAAGAGACTGCACTTCTGTTCCATGGATTTGAAACCGAGTACCTTGGGATGTCACCAGCAGGATGAAGCCAGAAAGCAATTTATTGACATGAGCATTATTTGCTTCCAAAAGATCTATTTGAAGGTGATGACACATAATTTAACCTCGCTTCCTACTAGAGTCTCAAGTGCTGATCATCATGATTCCTAAGAGGCAGAGCAGCTAGGTCTCTGGCTTCAGGCAAATCCTCACATGAGAAAAACACTGCAACAAAGAGAGGAAAAAGCCCCAAACCCAGAGCAGTGAGAATACAATGAGAAGTGATTCCTCTCGTGCAGTCTCCTTCAGATGACATGGAAATGAAATACAAGTTGAAGAACTCCTGGGCACCCTTTTTGCATCTCCATTAAGGTGACCCTGAACAGCTTGTATGGAAAAGGAGCCAAAAACACCATTTTTCACATTACATTTTCCCACCATCTCTCCTTCAGCTGGTTTGTCTGGACACCTGGATGATCACCACATAACATAGGGGATGTGTTATGAGGTATAAATACCATGGCAGGGACAATTTCAGTGGCATCTAAATCATACAGAGAGACACCAAAATCCCACTTCATGGGTGCTTCTTTTAGATGAACTCAGACACTGGTTCAGTTTCTGAAGGATTAAACACGTTTGCAAAGGAACTCCCATAACAGGGCTGCTGAGAACCTGGCAACAGTCACCCTTAACAAGAGATTTAATTTAAAGATTGCTGAATGCTCCCCAGTATCAAACAAGCTGCAGTTATTTGTACAAGTTAGAATTCAGCAGCTGGTTAAGGCCTGACAGAAAAATATATACCCTGCATCCATCTCCAGCATATTTAGCATCATTAGAAACCTGGTGCCTGTGAGCACAGAGACATCTGTGATGCAACAGCTACAATTATTAGTCCATAGCTGTGTGAGTGCCCATATAGGCTGTTTCATAATGACCCTGAAGCTTCCTCTAACTACTCCTAGTGCAGGGAGCTCAGGCTGTGCAGCTCCAGCTGCTCCACTCAGCTCTGCAGAAACACCCACAACAGCACAGAACAAATGGGTCTGTCTTTAATGGACAAAACCTGCAGCCAGGGCTCTCCAAAATAAGATCAGAGCTATTACTCCTTGGATGCTCACCGGTGGTACAGACACTGTGCACACAGGAGGTGTGTGGTCTGAAGGGTTTTAAATAAGCTCTTTGTTTGAAAGCAGCTGAGTACTGGAGCTTGAGAAAAGCTAAATGTGCTCGAGTAAATACTGTAATTTAAACAAGCAGACTATGACAATCAGGCCTCTTTGCAATATAATTGTCATTTTAAAAGACATGGAAGAGTCAATAATAGAGAGATGTAGTTACAGTCCTCTGCTCAGCCCAGCCTGATTCAGAAGATCTCATTACAGACAAAAGCCTTTATCTCCAGACCATCATCTAATCCCCATGGATTTCCTTGGGGAGTGCAGAGGAACTTTGAAGTTTCTACTGCTAACCACACAAGAACATCATTCTGTGCCAGGATAAAATGGACCTTAAAGCTCATCTAGTTCCAACCCCCTGCCATGGGCAGGGACACCTCCCACTGGAGC